TTCCAATGATAATATGTGTATATATTTCTTCCTATTTTTTCTTTATGTTCCTTTTCATATACGTATAAATAATCTTTGTTAAATTTACAATAAACAATACCATGTTTATTATATAGTTTTTTAACTTTGGTTTCTTTTTTAGCTCTTTTTGTTTTTAGATAGATATATTTATTGTCAGTTCTGATAATATCATAAATGATATTATTAGAATTTGTAGTTCAATAGAAAATATATTTGTTTGGATCAAGTTTATTACTAGACAAAAGTAGTTTCAGATATACAGCGTAAAAAGTTTTTGATACAGTTTTTATATTAATTCTTTCTTGAGGAAACAGATAACTAAATATGAAAAATAAAATATCAAATGGTAATTTAATCATGTTGATAAAGTTTTGGTAAATTGAAATAATAATTAGAGTATTGTCTTTTTATAAAGAATTTATTATAAAATATTAAAACCATATAAAAATTAATACATGTTATTTAGTTACACTTAAAATTTCCTCTTAAGGATTAATTATGAATATCCACATGAGGACTAATTATAAATTTCCTCATGAGGATTCTTTAATAGATCAGCTGATCAATACAGAAAAGCATCTGAACTAATAGATTATTTTAGTTTGATGAAATTTATATAAATATTCTTGTTGTTTATATAAAAAATATTTATAATATAATTGTTTAAAATGTTTGTATTTAATCAAGTAATTGATGAAAAAGATGAAATTCTTTATGAATTTTTTGAAAGAAATTTGAAGCAACTACAATATTATAAAGATGCTTTTGATGATATTGGATATAAAGATGAAATATTAATTGTAGAAGCAATTAAAAAACATATACAAGAAGAATATATTCCTAATTACAAAATACAATATTATAAATATAATTTTTTGAAAAAAGATATTAATGTTAATCAATTATCTAAATGTCTAAATATTTTAAAGAAAACTGATAATGAAGATTTTAAAATATTTTTATTAAAATTTATTGAATATTTTAATTTTTTCTTGTATGAAGATTATTTGAATAAAACATTTTGTAGTAAATTTTAATTTTTTTTAAATAAACAATTTATGAAAATATTCATTATTTTTTACATTAAATTGAATCAAAAATTTTAAAGTACACTATTGACATAGTCTATGCTCATAATAATTATCAAAATTCTTTGTTAATTTATTATTGATATTCTTCAATTCTTTGTAAACCTTTAGTTTTTTACAATTTTTAAAAGGACAAACATCTTTAAAGATACCACAATCTTTTAAGAAATGTAATTCTTTACATTTTTCACAATTATATTTTTTAATATTTTTAATATATTCTTTTTCGTGAATGTATAAATAGTTATTCTAAAATTTACAATAAATAACTCCATATTTATTATAAATTTTTTTAACTTTGGTTTCTTTATTTGATCTTTTAGTTTTCAGATAGATATATTTATTGTCGCTTTGAACAATATTATAAATTAAATTATCAGATTTTATATTTTTACTTCTTCGATAAAGAATATATTTGTTTGGATCAAGATTATTTCTTTGTAAAACATGTTTCAAATAAATTTTATAAAAGATTTTGATACTGTTTTTATTTTATATCTCTCATTTGGAGATAATAAACCAAAGATTTCAAATAAAATATCAAGAGGTAAATTCATTTTTATTTTAAAAAAAATAAATTAGGTATATTTATATGTTTTAATAATTATCATTAAATATCATCTTCATCATTATTTTGATTAATAATTGAAGATCTTAAAGTATCTTGAAGAAGCTCTTGTTGCTTCATATAATTTTTAAATATTCTGTTTTCTTTTTTCAGAATAGCTGTATCATGTTCCAGATTTTTAATTCGAGTTTCATGATCATATATAATATTATTTAGTCTACTAATTTCTTCATATACTTTACTAGGTTTGAATCTGTTACAAATATGATTATTCACTAAACAATATTGACATGTATCTGAATTTGAGATGCTAATACATTTAATTCTTTTTTTAACACAAGACAAACATCTTGTATGTTTTGTAAAAATCTTTTTTTTCTTTTTTGTTCGAGGCATTTTATAACAATTTTCACAAGATTTTTGATAAATTATTGTTCTACTTTTAGATTTACAAAAAATAATTTTGATTATTTTTTTTTGTTCTTAGAGCTTATATGCTAAATTTATAGATTTATAAATAAATTAAAATCAGATATAAAATTTAAGAATAGATTTTATAGGTTCTTAATATAAAATCTTTTTGAGATTGTCTTATTTCAATGATTATATCAAACAGATTTCTGATCTGTTTAAAATTTTTCAAAATATTTTGTTAATTAATTATTATATAATCTTTAAAAAAGTTTAGAAATTCAAATTTGATCAATTAAGATTTAACATAGGATCAAAAATAATCTTTGAAATTGTTCAAATATTCACTATAAAGTAAAGATTTTTGATTATATCAAAAAATTATTTTTATGATCTTTAAATTATATATAGAATAATTTTCAATTATGATATTTTTTATTATCATTAAAAAAATTAATATAAAGTTATTTAAAAAATACTTTAAAAAATTGTTAAATTAATTATAAATTATTTTTTATTTTTTAATTGATCAATAACAATAATAAAATAAAATTTATTTTCACAAAAATAAAATTCATTCAAAATTGTTTTTTATTCAAATATTTAATTTTATTAAATTATTTCAACAAATTTTTAGAATATTCATTTTTAAAAATATATAAATAAACTTTATTTCTTTTAATATAAACAAAATGAATTTTGATCGAGAATCTAAGAGGGGTATCAAAAAACTTCATGAAAAAAAAATCTACAATCAGATCAGACTTGTCTCGATTGATAATATTTCTTATATTGAAGTCAAGACTCAGAAACCTGAAATTACTTTTCTCACAGATTTCTCAAACTATACTAAACTTCGTCAACATATTTGGTATGCTGACAAATCAAATTATAATTATTCTTATTATATTAAAACACATATCAAAAAAGATAATAAATATACAACTTTAAAATTTCATCGATTGCTTCACCCTGAATAGAAAATATATAATCATTTAAATAAGATTGGATATGACAATAGAGAACTTAATTTGAGAGATGGATCTAATAGTTTTAATCAATTAAATAAAAGTTTATATAAAAATAATACAAGTAGACAAAATAGTATTTCTTATCGTAAAAGAGATAAAGTTTGGAGATTTGATTGGAAAGAAAATAAAAAACAGAAAATGAAATATTTTAAAAATAAACAAGTAGCAATTGAATTCAAATCAGCTCATGATAAAATCACAGGAAACATGAATGGAAAACCTGTAATAAATTAGTTTGAAGTTCCTCATTCAGAAAATAATATCCCTAATTCAGAAACTGAACAAGAAAACCTTTTTATTTTAATTTATTAAATACAATATAATTTTAAAAAATATAAATAGAGATATTATTCATTTATTTATTGTAAAATGTCTGAAGAAAATATTAGAAAATTGCAAGAACAATTAAATGTAATAAGAGAATTAGAACAAAGACGATCAGAATTAAATCAAGAAGTAATAATTAGAAATGAATTTATTAACAATCAAAATTTAACTATTAAACAATATGAACAAAAAATATTAGATCAAGTATTAGAAATAGTTAATAACAGATTTAATGATAATGAAAAACAATATATTTTAAATAGAACAAATAAAGATTTTACTGAAAGTAAAGATGATAACAATAAACAAAAAGAAAAACGTTATATAAAATTTATTCAAGATATGATTTTACATTTCATGCCTGATGATGAAAGAAGACAAGAACAACTTGAAAAATTTTTATGCAATGATATTTAAAATAATGACTTTATTATATGCAATATGATATATACAAATATGAGAAAAAAATAAGATATTTATTCATAATGATCCCTATAACCTTCACCATAATAATCACTAAGATTTTCCTCTTCATCCTCCCATTCTTCTTCACTTTCTCCCCACCTTTCTTCAATATTATTTTCTTTAATATTATCCTTTTTAACTCCAAATATCATTGGTAAAGGAGTTTTTGAATCAATATAAATATTTTCTTCTGTGAAATCATTTGATACTTCACAGAAGGTTGAAAAAAGTTTTTTTTGTTGATATCTTTCTTCAATGATATCAAAACTTTTTCCAAAAAAATCTGAATAATAGAACATTCTATTATTAAAATCATCAATCTGTTCTTCTTTATCTTTTATAATTTCATTTTTTTCTTTGATTAAATCTAAAAGATCTTTGTTTTCTTTTCGAAGTTCTTCAATTTTCTTTTGAAAATCTCTGAATATTTTTTCATATTCAGAGTTTAATTCTTCAAATTTTTCAAAATTGATAGAATTCAATTTTTGTTTTTTGTTAGTTTCTTCTGTTGAATCAGAAAGGTATTTTCTTTTTCTTCGTTCGTTTGAAATAATTTGTGGGGTGTTATAAATTGATTGTTTAGTTTCAATTTGGAATGATATGTCGGACATTTTTTTAAAGTTGCATGCATGAAATTAAGTATTTTTATAAGTTTTAAATATTAAGAAATAAAACAAGTTTTTAAAAACTCGTAAGGAGAAAGAATTTTTTATCAGGAATAATTGGTTTAAAAATTATTAATTATAAGTAAACAAAACTTTACAAATTGATTGGTGCATTTGTTATCATTGATTTTTGTAACATCATATGTCATCTAGAATTTGAATTTTGTAGATCTACAATCTATCCGTTTATAGAATCCTCATGAGGAAATTTGTGATCAGTGATTTGTTTACATGATTTGACCTTTTGAGGAAATCCTCAAAAGGACATATTTGATCAGTTATGTAATTTTGTAAAACAAAACAACACGTAAGATAAATAATTTTTAATAAATATCAAGAGAAATATTACAGGTTCTTTATTCAAAAAAGAAAATGGCTGATCTTAATA